GACTTCATCGGGGCACCATCGGGACATCATCGGCGGATGTGGCAGAAGCTTGTAGAGCCGAGCGCGGCAACCGATGGGCACTGCGAGTATCAGAATGCCCAGACGGCCCTGATTCGTCGGGAGTGTGTCGTTGTTCGTGCCACTGCTCGCAATCGTTCTCTCCCTAACTCGGCCCTCCCGCTCCCTGTCGGCTCTCTTCGTTCGTCTCTCTCCCCAGTTCTGTTCCTTTGTCCTCCCATTATTTTTCCTCATCCCCTCCTATCGTTCCTCTCCCTCTGTTGCGTCGCCGTCGTCGTCGTCGTCGTCGTCGTCGTCGTCGTCGTCGTCGTCTCTCTCTCTCTCTCTCTCTCTCTCAATCGTTTGCCTCCCTGCTGTCCCTTCTTAGTTTGCCTCCTCGCTCCTCCCTGTCTCCCCAGTTTTCTGCAGAGGTGGCAAGTGAATCGCTCGCATACCCAACGAGCAACAATCACTGCACACGCGACAAACCATGCAAACTAGTGAGGTTAGCATCGCTGCCGTAGTGGATGAGAGGCGCAAGGAAGTCATCTAGACCTGCCATCATAGGAGCTTCAAGTTTCTCCCACGTGCTAGACCACCTGGACTTGGACGAGCATTTAAAGGGATGCACTGCGGCATATGCAACCCCCGAGCTGCTACCGAAAACAGCACTCAGGCGATGATCCAGCCTGCTGACAGCTGCTTCAGAGCAACGACATCGCCGATCCAGGCAACGTCGTTAAAACGAGTCTTCGATGCAGCGAAATGCTCTACAGCACCGAACGTCGAACCCAAATTTTATGTCAAGCGCTTGGTGGGGGCCTTCGGTTCGACCAGGCCCGTCGACAATCGAGCCAACTAGCATGCTTAAGGCTGTGCATACTCTCTGAGATGACCTCCCTGATGACACCTCTGGTGTCCTTCATGTGATCCTCTGCGTGCCTCAGGACAAACTTGTGTTTCCTTTCCATCTTGAGAGCCCCGCGGGACCATCCCCAATGAGAAATGTATTGGGGATGGTGAAGTATTCAGTGGGATATCCAAACCATCGGGTCCCGAAGGCACGAATGTATGCATTCAGGAGATTTATAGTTGCCGTCGCGACACTTTGAGCAGACACCCGAAAATTTGCACACTTCCACAGCTGCGCAAAAGGGAGCATGAATAGACAACACTTCCGAGCAAGAACTTTCCCACGATTGGCGTTTCCAACTGCTATCGCATCGCTTCACTGAGGACATACTCACGCCTGTGTTGGATGTGCTGTGTATCCTGCTTGGCCACTTGTACATTTCAAGATATGCAAGGCGATGTTTCGACTTGATGCCAGACTGCCCAATTGCATAAAAAAACGTGTTATTCTGTCGAACCCCAGACTCCAGACAAACTATTGTGCACCCAGTCAAAGGTGTTCTGGGACGCTGGGTCCACAATGCGCTTGAGGTGCGGATCCGAAACAAATTTGCAAGGTGAGTAGTTCCAGTCCGTATCGATCTTATACTTTTTGAACGCTATTTTCCCCACGTCGCTTTCTTCTCAGCGAGGTCATCCGCCAAAACAGTTATGGAAGCCTTGGTGTGGAACGCGCACTTGCTCAGGTCAGTGGCTGAGGTGTAGTCCTGAAGCAGGGTGCCCTCCCCGAGCTTATCTGCCCCCACCCAGTTGCGGTTGACGATGTTGAGGCATTGGCAGCAGCGTTTGGTTCCCACGTTGCCCTTGCAGAGCCAAGGGTTGGTGCAACCCAGACTCGTCACCGAGAACGCTTGTCAACGTGGCAACGAAGTTGGCGGAGGAGCCGTCGGGGAAGTCCATCGTCATGCCACTGAACATCAGATTGTGGGCTTCAGGGTTGAACATGCGACGCAAGATACAGCCCACGACCACGACCACAAATGTGGGGCCAGGGCGTCGTCTTCCTTTTATATATATATATATATACATATATATATATTATATCGTTGGATTGAAAAAAAAAGTGTTTCAGCGACCCGGGGCCAACGGGGCCCCAAGAGGCTGCAGGGAGGCCCCAGGAGGCCGCAGCGATGGCTCCAGACGCCTTTCAAGACGATTCCCATAACGCCAAGAAGGCCCCCGAAGGCACCGAAGACGCCCCAAGAGGCACCCCGAGAGAGGCCCAATCAGCAAGCATAGTCGATTTCCCATGGGAAACTTACAGTTTTGGCGCATTTGCCTTTTGGGCGTCCACTGCGTCCGAGACGACCCAAGAGGCACCCAAGACTGCCCCACAGGCCCCCAATATGGCTCTAAGAGGGTCCCAAGACGGCCCGAGAGGCACCCAAGACAGCCCAAGAGAGCCCCAGGACGAGCCCCAGAGGGGTCCCAGAGGTGAACAACCATATTCAAATTCCGAACTTTCGGCCCCAGAAGCCCCCCAGGAGGCCCCAAAAGGTCCCCAGGAGGCCCCAAGAGGCCCCCCAGGAGGCCCCCACGAAGGCCCCGAAAACGCTCCCCGAGGCGCCCCGAGAGAGCCTCAATAGGCGTCCAAGACGGCCCAAGAGGCACCCAAGACGGCCGAGGATACCCCCAAGAGGGCTCCAAGACGGCCCACGAGGGGGCTAAGACGGCCCACGAGACGCCTAAACCGCTCAACGACGCCCCAAGTCGGCGCCCAAGACGGGGACGAGGAGCCGAACATGCAAGCAATTTGGCCCAAGAGGCCCCCAGAGGACCCAAGAGGCTCCAAGAAACGCCCAAGAAGCTTAAGAGGTCCCCAAGAGACCCGCAAAAACACAAAAAGAGTCCCCGAACACGCTCCAATGGGCACTCCAATAGAGCCCCATATTTCTGGCGTGTTCGCCTTTTGGGCTTCTACTGCGTCCAAGACGGCCCAAGAGGCACCCAAGCCGGTCGAGGAAGCCCCCCCACGAGGGGACCAAGACGGCCCCCGAGGCGCCCAAACCGCCCAAGAACGCCCCGAATCGGCGCCCAAGACGGGGAAGAGGAACCGAAGATTCGAGCGTTTTGGCCCAAGAGGCCCCCCAGGAGACCCCAAGAGGCTCCAAGATTCGCCCAATCCCCAAGAGGCCCCCATAAGAGCTTCCAAAAATACCATAAGAGGCCCCGAAGACGCCCCAACAGGCACCCCAATAGAGTGCCCCCAGCCCCGGGTGACACACCTCCCCGTGACAGCTCGGGAACGCTCCCGGTACCACTCCCCCGGGCGTTACGGGGGGCCTCCTCAGCGCTCCAGGAGGGCCCGAGACGCCTCCCAGGAGCTCCTGGAATGCGAAAGGATGGTCCAAAACGCTCCCAAGCAGCCCAAGTCAGCCTTCGACAGCTCTCGAGGCTCCCAGGTAACCTCCAAGAGACCCCAAGAGAGGTCCGAGAGGCGTCCCGGGACGGCCCGAAGAGGCCAAAATCGTAGATGTTCATTTGTTTTGTTTTCAATGTTTTTGGCTTCTCGCGTTTTCGAGCTTCCATCGGTCCAAGAGCGCCGACTAGGCTCCCAAGACCGCCCCAAGACCACCCAAGAGACCCTCAGGACGGCCCCAAGACGGGCCAAGAAGGCTCCAAGACTGCCGAAGAGGCGCCTAGGACAGCCCCAGACCACCCCAGAACAGGCCCAAGATGGGGCCAAGAGCGGGAGCAGGAGCCCCCCAAACACCCCCCATCCCTGAGAGGCCCCAGAAATACTCCGACGAGGCTCCCAGAACAGCCCTAGAGAGCTGTGAGAGCCGTCCCGAGAGAGCCCAAAGAGGGTAGCATCGTTGATGTCTCATGGTTTTTCTAATGTTTTTCGCTTTCTCACGTTATCCCGCTTCCAACCCTCGAAGATCGAGGATTTTGAGAGAAAAAAAAAAAGGAATTCCCAGAATCCCCCCTTTTTTTCAAAGTGGGACTCCTACTCGGGGGTCCTACACATCCCCTGACATCTGGCCGGTACCGCGCCTCCCGGCTTCCCGGGGGGAGACCCCAAGTCGCCGAACGACAGCCCATGACGACCCCAAGGAGCCCCCAGAACGTGAAGAACGGCCCAACACGCTCCCGCGCAGCCCGCGACACCCTTCCGACGGCTCTCCAGGCCTCCAGGAGGCCTCCAGAACCCCCAGGGAGTCCAGAAAATCCCACACCCCTGAGGGGCCCGACTAACAAAACCCGCGAGGCACAAACAAAAAACAGCGCCGAACAGCGCCGAGGAATTGGAAAAACATGGAAATCCCACAATTCCTATTTTTTTTGTCAAGTTTGGTCCCCGGTCTACTCTTGCACGACAGACCACAATTCAGACCCCCCTCACCTCCCGAAAAAAAAAACAGGAAGCCTTTGAGGGCCCCAAATCGTTGAATATCTCAAGGGAATTAATGACTTCTGCGTTTCCGCGTTTCCCCTTCTATACGATTCCGAGGCTTGCGCAGGGCCTCCAAGGGAGTCCCTGGACGCAAGAAGCGACCAAAATGAGATGACATGAGTTAGCTTATCAAGCCTAGCTAGAACTTGAACGCGCACGAAGACGCACAAGGAGAGGCCCAAAGAGCTTTAATAATGCCCGGATCACACCTCGAAGTAACCCCCAGAAAGCCCCAAGAGATAGCTCAGGTGCCCCAAGGGATCCACGAGACGTTGAACACATCCCCAAGCAAGCCCCCGAATAACCCAGACATGCGCCCAAAAGGCGAAGCGAGCGACAAACCAGATGATTGGCATTCTTCGTGTGAAACCTTGCTTTAGGATGGGCTGATGTGGACATTCGAAGCGCTAATAATTAGAAAAGGTGTGGTGGAGGATGCGGAGCAGGAGAAGGAGCGGAGTGAAGACCAGAAAGGGGGGCATTGAGGACGGAGAGGGCAGGAGAGAATAGTTGGGGGATGAGAGACATGAAAGGGAGCGGGGCGTGGGCAAAGACAAAGCATGGGAAGTGTAATCGTATATCTGAGCTTATAGACGTTGTCCTCCCCCCCTCCCCTCCCTCGTCATCTCCATTCTTTTTTGCGTGCGCAACAAGGGCAATCAATCTCTACTGAAGTCGAAACAGACCCATCTCCCTAGTCAGGCGGAACAGCCACAGGCAAAATCATCATCTTTTTCAGCCGATCTGACTTGAACGATGGCATGCGAATGTGGGGAGCTGTCATGGATTCGCCCGCCTGCTTGTTATCATAAATAATGAGCACTTTCTTGTGATCGTCTCCCCTGAGCCCCCCAACGAAAGTATTGCTGATGAGATTGCCCATAGCTTGGCTCGTGCTGCCTTCCACGATGATGGCAACGTGGTCCGAAACTTTCTGACGGGCAGCGGTCTCGATGGTCTCGAGCGTGTGCTTAGCATCCTCTGACAAGCAAGCCAATTTCTCGAAGATCTTCCATTTCTTCTCGAGCACATCCCTCATGCTGGCTGTCTGCTCACCAAGGCGGTCCGAGAGGCTACCTGGGCCCCCCTTCTTCATGGCGAAGCCGAGCGCGATGGAATGGTTCTCTGCGTCATCGGTGACTTCCACTGGCGCCCGGCGAGCCGACTCCGGAACAGTACCGAGATGGCTGTGCGATTGCTCGATCAGTCTGGTCAACACTTCTTTGATCTCCGTCCTGTCGAACAGCTCCTCCATGGAGCTGTTGAAGCGAACCGCGTTCTTGATGGGGCCGTCGTAGTCGATGCCATGCACCAGCTCCTCTGAGGCAATAAAAACTTAAACAGGTTAGAGGTCCTCCTTATCCTCCTCCTCGTCTTCCCCCCTCATCCTTATCATCCTCCTCCTCCCCCCCCTCCTCAACCCTCATCCTTGCCCGCGTTGCGCATGCCTCCTGGGGGGGGGGGGCAACGACGGCATAGGCATAATGGACGATGGCAACACTAAATTGGAAACCCCGCTGTCCGCGAACATCTTGATGAGCTCTTGCAGAGGCTTCGCGTGTTTGTGAAGCCAGACCTTGGAGAGCTGCTCGTGATCATATCCGAAGACAGAACGGTACTTGCCATGAGATCCAATGCACGAAGCCACCAGCCCCTTCTCCTCGCTGTCGTAATTCAGAGGAGCCAGCACGCTTGCCAAACAGTATTTCATGACCTGCATCTTGTAAAGGAT